TAAGGTTTAGGGTCAGGGATAAGGGTTAAGGGTTAAGGGTTAAGGGCTAAGATTTAAGGGCTAAGGGTGAAGGGTTTAGGGTTTCGGGCTTCATCAAGGACGTTGGCCCCCTACACACGAAACCCGATTCGAGGTTGCGACACCAAACGGGGTTTAGGGTTTAGGGTTTAGGGTTTAGGGTTTAGGGTTTAGGGTTTAGGGTTTAGGGTTTAGGGTTTAGGGTTTAGGGTTTAGGGTTTAGGGTTTAGGGTTTAGGGTTTAGGGTTTAGGGTTTAGGGCCTTAAACCCTAAACCCTAAAGTTTAGGGTTTAGGGTTTAGGGTTTAGGGTTTAGGGTTTAGGGTTTAGGGTTTAGGGTTCGGGGTGACCCAATGGGCCTTCAATTTGCAGAGCACGAACAGGGCCCACTTTCTACTTACACTCTCTGCAAGGCCTGTCAACGCTCAAGCTCTCCGAGTCTCCGGCACTCATTCGCTGAACCAGCTTCTTTACGCGCCTCGCTCGGACTTGACTGGGCCCTCTAGGTCTAGAACCCCTGAACCTGAACCCTAAACCACGCTACCTCGGATCACCTCAAGAAACCCCCCTCCCCCATCCCCCCCATCCCCCCTCTCCCACTCCCCCTCACCCCCCCCTCCTCCCCTCCCCCCGCTCCCTCCTCCCCCACCCCCCAAAAAAAACAGAAAACAGGATGGCTACCGGAATAGCCCATCCCGGTAACCTCCTAGATACTTGGTATCTAGGGTTGAGGTTGGAGTATATATTTGGAGGTTCAGGGGGGTTGAATTGCAAGTGTAGTTAGAACCCACGTAGAAGCCCCTTAAGTACCCGAATAGAAGGTTGTAACTGGGGTATAAGTACAGTTATAATTGGGCTACTAAGCCAAGTAGACCCTATACTCTGAGAAATATTCCCAAGCGTGCTCCTCTTGCACGTAAGGCATGTAATTAAAATACAAGATCCCAAGAAGGCCTACCTAGCTCTATCAACCCTAGACTCTTAGGCCTTCGGGTGTAACAGCACTATGGTTGAGGTTCTGGGGTTGCAAGGGTTGCTTAGGCTTGAGGATGTTTAGGCCTTAGGGTTTAGGGTTTAGGGTTTAGGGCTTAAGGCTTAGGGCTTTAGCTTGAGTACGGCAAGCTCACGCCTGAGGTTTAGCATTAGGTTCTATGCGTTCGAGGCTTGCGGTTTCAGAGTACCGCATATCTAACCACCAAAACTGTACAGGGTTTCAGTTCTTGAGAACCCCAAATCCTAACCCGCAAGCATGAACTCTTTGTCTCTTTGTCTAAACCAAAAAGGCAAGACATTTGGGGTTCGGGGCCCAATTTGAAAAGTGCCCTAGCCATTGTTACCCTGCATCCTAACCCTAAACCCTAAACCCTGAACCCTAAACCCTAAACCCTAAACCCTGAACCCTAAACCCTAAACCCTAAACCCTGCCTATCAGTACCCTTCTGAACCTCCAAGTAGGAAGCTAGGTGGAGGCCGTTTAGGGTTCAGGCGTTGGTTTGGGCTTCAGGGTCTCTCAGGTTTGCTAGCTACTGGGTGGCTGTCAAAATTAAGAGCCCCTTTCGGGGTACCCTAAATCTTAGGTGCCGTATGATAGTAGGGATCCAAAAAGGGACCATAATTTTGCCAAGCACCTAGCTTAGGGTTCAGGGTCTATAGGTTTCGGGTTAGGGCTTATAGGGTAAATACAGTTACGAGGGTTGTAGAGGGTTTATAGGGTTTTCAGAGTTTGTAGGGTTCCAGCGGGTTTGCAGGTAACCTAAACCCTAAACCCTAAACCCTAAACCCTAAACCCTAAACCCTCAGCCGTCAGCCCTAAACCCTAACGGGTTTGTAGGGTTTATAGGGCTTAGGGTGCGACTCGTCATTGGTCTCGGCGGTCTTGACGGCCGGCGAGTACGGGACGGAGGCCTGGCTCCAGCCCTTGAACCCTAAACCCTAAACCCTAAACCCTGAACCCTAAACCCTAAACCCTAAACCCTAAACCCTAAACCCTAAACCCTAAACCCTAAACCCTAAACCCTAAACCCTAAACCCTAAACCCTAAACCCTAAACCCTAAACCCTAAACCCTAAACCCTAAACCCTAAACCCTAAACCTAACCCTAAACCCTAAACCCTAAACCCTAAACCCTAAACCCTAAACCCTAAACCCTAAACCCTAAACCCTAAACCCTAAACCCTAAACCCTAAACCCTAAACCCTAAACCCTAAACCCTAAACCCTAAACCCTAAACCCTACCCGCTGGGTAGCCCGGTAACCATGCTATAGTAGGAGGTACCATGTCGGGGCTGCTTTATGTAAGGGAACCTAGAACCCCGAAAATGGCAGCAACAGCTCCCCCCAGCTATGCAAAACATATAAGGTATGGGGTCAGGGTTTGGGGTTTAGGGAACGATATTCTGGGATGCTTTCGCCTGTTCACCAAAAAAGCAGCCGAAGTGCTTGTCAAGGGTTTCCGAAATTAGGGGTACCTGATGAGGGTTTAGGGTTTAGGGTTTAGGGTTTAGGGTTTAGGGTTTAGGGTTTAGGGTTTAGGGTTTAGGGTTTAGGGTTTAGGGTTCTCATCACGGGGGCTTGCTGGAATCGGTCGAATGACCTCAGAATATGCTGCTTGGTAGCCCAGTAGCCATATTGTAATAAGGGTAGCCTTGCTTGGGGGGTTGGATATCTTGAAAAGGGAAGGGAACCGCGAACCAAAAAAGTGAAAAGGGTACCACTGGGCTACCAAGAGAGCCATTGAAGCAGCTCTGCTCACGGCGTCGGCTCTGAAAGCAACTGGAAGGCAATTCGCCACCTTCCACCTTTATCAGAACTGCTGGCAGAAAAACTGGCCAAGGCCGGCAACAGGGTGGAGGCTGGAATCTGCGAAAGCAAATGCAGGCTCACCTCCCTTCTCACAGGCGCCGATGCTGGCATTGAAGCTGATTTGGCTGGGTGCAACACTGGCCGTCGGCATCTGCGACAGCAAACGCATGGCTCTCTGCCATTCACCACCTTTCTCACAGGCGCTGATGCCAGCATTGAAGCTGATCTCGTTTGGTACCACTTTTGCCGTCGGCATTTGCGAAAGCAAGTGTAGGGCCACCTCCCACGCACCACCTTTGCCACTGGCACTGATGCCGGCAGAAAAGCTGACCACGTCCGGCACAACTCTGGCCATTGGCATCTGAAAAAGCAAATGCAGGGCCGTCTGCCACTCACAGCAAACCTCACAGGCGCTGATGGCGGCACTAAAGCTCAGCACGTTCGGAACAACTCTGCACACCGGCATCTGCGAAAACAACTGCAGCGCCAGCTGCCAGTCCCCACCCTTCTCGCAGGCACTGATGCCTGCGTTGAAGCTGACATCGTCCGGCACAAGTCTGGCGGTCGACATCTGTGAGAACAACATCTGCAACGCCATCTGCCACGCACCAATTTTCTCGCAGGCGCTGATGACGGCATTAATGCTGATCTGGTCCGGCACATGTCTGGCAGTTGGCATCTGCGAAAGCAACTGCAATGCCATCTGCCACTCGTTACCCTTCCCAAAGGCGCTGATGGTGGCAGAAAAGCTGATCACGTCCGGGACGAGCTTGGCGGATGGCATCTGCTCAAGCAACTGCAATGCCATCTGCCACTCACCCCTTTTCTCACAGGCACTGATGCTGGCATTGAAGCTGATAACGTTTGGCACAACTTTGGCTGCTGGCATCTGCGACAGCAAGTGCAGGGCCATCTGCCACTGGCCACCTTTCTCACAAGCGGTGATGCCCGCAGAAAAGCTGATCTCGTTTGGAACAAGTTTGGCGGCTGGCATGTACAAAAGCAGATACAGAGCCATCTGCCACTCAGAAGCTTTCCCACAGGCGCTGATGCCGGCACTGAAGCTGCGAACGTTCGCCGCAAGGCGGGCCGCCGGCATCTGTGAGAGCAAGCGCAAGGCCATGTGCCACTCACCCGCTTTCTCACAGGCGCTGATGCCGGCGTTGAAGCTGATCTCGTTTGGCAGCAGCCTGGCAGTTGGCATCTGCGCCAGCAAATGAAGAGCCTTCTGCCACTCACCACCTTTGCCACAGGCACTGATGCCAGCACTGAAGCTGATGACGTCTGGACCCAGTTTCACCAACATGATTTGAGAGAGGAGTTGAAGCGCCAGCCGCCACTGCAAGCCCTTCTCGCATGCTGTGATTGCAGCATTGAAGGTGCTGACTTCGGGAGCAATCTCGGCCACAACAATATCTGCAAGGACTTGGATTGCGACCTGCCACTGCCTCGCCCTGCCACAGCTCGTGATGGTGGTAGAAGACACCTGGTGCCTTTCTGTTGGCAGCATGTCCTGAAGCAAATGGATTGCACGCTGCCAGTCGTTCTCCTGACATGCTGCCCGAATGAACCCTGACAGCGCGGCGCGACTCGTCGCCGCAACCTGGTCTGCAGGTGAAGCTGCTGGCCCCATTGCTTGATGGATGTGGTGAAGAAAAGTGGGTTAAGGTTTAGGGTTTAGGGTTTAGGGTTTAGGGTTTAGGGTTTAGGGTTGAGGGTTTAGGGTTTAGGGTTTAGGGTTTGGGGTTTAGGGTTTAGGGCATAGCCTCTGGCTGAGCCCCAACGTGGCACTTTGAGTTGCCATGGTGGCCCGTCATACACATGGTCCCAGATGAGGCATAATGCACAAAACCAGACAATACTGCGCCGGGCCGATAGTTCGACCCACCGACATCTTGGGGTTCTGACGCCCTTACCCCGCCCTCTTCCCCATAGACTCCTGACACAATGGGGCTGGGGGCCTCCTCCGGAGCTTCTATAGTACTATATTTTTAAAACGGGGTATTAATTTCTCCGCTAGCAGGCGCAGGGAAAATGCGACTTTTCGGCACTCCGCTACTCCGCGGGAGCCTTCACTGTTTGCGTGCCATCCAACATGTGCCGTGGGTCGAAACTTTCGGCCCGGGGGTGCCTTCCGGAAGCATTTTTCGAAGCCGACGGCCTCCTCTAGCCACTTGCGCCATGCCTGCCAACCTGAAGCAACGCGCTAAGCGTGCGCTGGTGACCTTGTTGCTGGCTCTGGCCGGTGCCTACGGGCTGCAGGTGACCCTCACGCGGGAGTCGACAGATGTCGAGGTGACGCGGGTCTTCCGGCGAGTGTCCATCAAGGTGCATCCCGACAAGGGCGGCGCAGCCGCAGACGCGCAGCGCCTGAATGCTGCAAGGGATGCGTGGGTCCAGGCGAGCCAGGGCACAAAGCCGCCAGGCCGACCTGCCCATGCGCAGGCAGGGCCCGTGTCCGCAAGCAGTGCCGTCACTAACGGGCGCGAAGGCTTGCGCATTCGCTCCGAGGCGGTGCTCCTGACATATCAAAGCTGGCCGGCCGGGGAGGCGCCTGGTGCATGGCAGAGGTTCTGCGTCTTTGTGGCCGCCTCGGTGACGGCGTGGACTGTCAAGCACTGGGCGGCGACGATGGAGCAGACCTCCGGCGGCGACTGCCACCTGCACCTCATGGTCCAATTCACTTCTGCAGTGGACTGCGGCTCCGCCCGCTTCATCTTTGAGGGCGTGCGACCCAACGCCAGCCCCAACGACTACCTCGGCGAGGGCGTCTGCCGCAACAAGCTGCAGCAGTCCATCAACCGCGGCATGTTCTACGTGTGGGCTGACAAGGTGGGGACGCTGCGCTTGCCTTCCGGCGAGACTTGCGTCGCGGCCAACTACGAGCCATGCTGGACTGAGGCTCGGCGAACCTACCAGGTCCTCGGAAAATGGCCAGAAGCACTGTGGAAACAGCGGAAGCTGACATCGGCCAAGTACGAGCAGTACCTTTTCCTGACGCGGGACGGGGTTCTGGCACGGAAGCGCAACCTGGATGCAGTTCGCGAGCATGAGGCCGCCCTGGCTGACGCCGCCCTCATCGAGGCCACCACGAAGAGGCTTCGAGCGAACCCAGAGGTGTACCGGGCTTTCCCGGCAGTGCCCGCGGCAGAAGCATGGTTGGCGACCTTTCGTGAAGATCGACTACGCTATCCACTGCTCATCGTCCACGGGCCCTCCCAGACAGGGAAAACAGAGTGGGTGAAGTCCTTGTTCAAGCGCGCGCTGGAGCTCAAAGTGGGGAGTCTCGACATCTTCCCAGAGGGGATGCGCGCCTTTGACAGGGACACCCATGATGGCATCATCCTGGACGATGTGAGGGACCTGAAGTTCATTGCGGAGCACCAGGACAAACTTCAGGGCAAGTACGACACGCGTGTCGAATTTGCCACGACTCCTGGCGGCACGTGCGCGTACCGGAAGTACCTCTTTGCGGTGCCTGTGGCAGTCACCATCAACAACAGCACACGGAACCTGGACTTCCTGCGCGCGCATGACTGGCTCGGCTCCGAGCGCAACCGCGTCCTCGTCCACTTCCCTGACATCTTGGCACAGGTCTGAGGGTCCAGCCTGAGACATGTTTCACAGCCACTGCATCCCAGGAGCCAGCCAGCACGGTGGCGCAAAAAGAGGCGGCTCGAGTGCCAGAGTCGCAGGCGACATCATGCGACACGCGTAGGCGCATGCTCCTGCGTCTGCGCTCGCGGCATGGGTGCTAGCGTCTCCATGGCCGTGTGCATTGTGGGTCCTATCGCGCCATCCCTGGCCGTGTGCATTTTCGGTCCGAGGCCGTGTGCGTTTTGGGTCCAATCGTGCGCCGCAGCCTGGGCCGTGTGCGTTTTGGGTCCGAACGCGTCAGCCGCTCCGGTCACCGTGTGCAGGTTGGGTCCTTGTCGCGCCAGCCCGGGCCGTGTGCGTTTGGGTCCTGTGTGCGTTTTGGGTCCGAAGCTGTGTGCGTTTTGGGTCAAACGTGCGCGCAGCCTGGGTGGGCCGTGTGCATTTTGGGTCCTCACGCGTGAGCCGCTCAGGTCGCCGTGTGCATCTCGGGTCCTCTCGCGCTGTGCATCTTGGGACATGTGCGCGAGGCAGTTGGGTGGGCATGGCGGTGCGTCCTGTGGTTCCTCACGCCTTGACCATGCAGGACCATGCATTGCTAGCGTCGGAAGGTACTGACAGGACCAGCCCACATGCGTGCCCTCGCAGCTGTCTCGGCACCATGCCCCTTGTGCAGGAGGTCAGGCACCCACGGTCGCTCAACTTCGCGACTGAGCGCCAGGTTGTGGTGCTGCGGGAGGTGCATGGCTGCGCGTGGGAGGACATCCGTTCCCGGGTGCGGAACTTGCGCGGGGAGCGGCCCAGTCTGTCGCTCCTGAAGCGAGTCTACAAGGGCTTCAGCCAGGCAAAGGGGCGGCGACCGTACAAGTACCAGAACTGCGGTCGCCGACCCGTCAAAGCTACCAAGGCCGTGCAGAAGTTCCTGGTGCAGCGCTTGCTCGCCCTGCGCATGCACTGTGTCTGCACCTCTGGCACCTTGCAGCGAGAACTGCTCGCGAAGCGGGGTGTGCAGCTGGATGAGTCGGCCATCCGCAAGGCACTGCGTCGCCAGGGATACTTCTGGCTTCCGAAAGCGCAGAAGCGCAAGTACAGTGCAGAACGCCGGCAGGAGCGCCTCCGCTTTGCACGGAGCGTGGTGCAGCTCAGTCGGGCCCGCCTGCGAGAGAAGCTTTCCTTCTCCATGGATGGGGTCCTGCTGTCGCTACCGCCACGGGATCCCACGGACCGCCGCAATTATTGCGCCCACGGGGATGGCTACATGTGGCGGCAGCGCGGGGAGGCTGGAATGGAGCGGCTGGCTGGACAGAACCCGTACCCGTCACAGGTGCCACGTGCTCGAGCCGTGCCACTCTGGGGTGGGCTGTCAGAAGGGGGCTTCCGCACAGTCGCCTTCCACAAAGCACGCAAGTTCACTGCAGAGGAGTGGTGCCGCGTGGTCCAGACCGGGAAGCTCCAGGCCGCCATAACAGCGCTGCAGCCAGTGCAGCGACACGGCCCCTGGAAGGTCTTGTGCGACAATGAGGCCTGCCTGCACACGGCCGCCAGCAGGCATGCCATGGCGGCCAAAAACATCACGCTCTGGCCGGTCCCGGCATCATCGCCGGACCTGAACCCTGTGGAGAAGTTCTGGGCGTGGCTGCGAAGGCGCCTCCGCCACCTGGATCGGGAAGACCTCCGCCGCAAGCGCCCGCCCATCGGCATGCTGGCCTTCAAGGCGCGAGTCCGCGCGGTTTTGGCCTCACAGCGTGCCCAAAGGGTGGCCTCGCACATAGCCGCGGGCTTCAAAAAGACCTGCAAGGAGGTCGTGTCGAAGAAGGGCGGCATGGCCAGATCCTAGCAGGCGTTTCACCCGCACTGTGCATGCCACGGACTCTCGCCGCCAAAACGCATGCTGCGCCGGGCCGATAGTTCGACCCACCGACATCTTGGGGTTCTGACGCCCTTACCCCGCCCTCTTCCCCATAGACTCCTGACACAATGGGGCTGGGGGCCTCCTCCGGAGCTTCTATAGTACTATATTTTTAAAACGGGGTATTAATTTCTCCGCTAGCAGGCGCAGGGAAAATGCGACTTTTCGGCACTCCGCTACTCCGCGGGAGCCTTCACTGTTTGCGTGCCATCCAACATGTGCCGTGGGTCGAAACTTTCGGCCCGGGGGTGCCTTCCGGAAGCATTTTTCGAAGCCGACGGCCTCCTCTAGCCACTTGCGCCATGCCTGCCAACCTGAAGCAACGCGCTAAGCGTGCGCTGGTGACCTTGTTGCTGGCTCTGGCCGGTGCCTACGGGCTGCAGGTGACCCTCACGCGGGAGTCGACAGATGTCGAGGTGACGCGGGTCTTCCGGCGAGTGTCCATCAAGGTGCATCCCGACAAGGGCGGCGCAGCCGCAGACGCGCAGCGCCTGAATGCTGCAAGGGATGCGTGGGTCCAGGCGAGCCAGGGCACAAAGCCGCCAGGCCGACCTGCCCATGCGCAGGCAGGGCCAGTGTCCGCAAGCAGTGCCGTCACTAACGGGCGCGAAGGCTTGCGCATTCGCTCCGAGGCGGTGCTCCTGACATATCAAAGCTGGCCGGCCGGGGAGGCGCCTGGTGCATGGCAGCGGTTCTGCGTCTTTGTGGCCGCCTCGGTGACGGCGTGGACTGTCAAGCACTGGGCGGCGACGATGGAGCAGACCTCTGGCGGCGACTGCCACCTGCACCTCATGGTCCAATTCACTTCTGCAGTGGACTGCGGCTCCGCCCGCTTCATCTTTGAGGGTGTGCGACCCAACGCCAGCCCCAACGACTACCTCGGCGAGGGCGTCTGCCGCAAGAAGCTGCAGCAGTCCATCAACCGCGGCATGTTCTACGTGTGGGCTGACAAGGTGGGGACGCTGCGCTTGCCTTCCGGCGAGACTTGCGTCGCGGCCAACTACGAGCCATGCTGGACTGAGGCTCGGCGAACCTACCAGGTCCTCGGAAAATGGCCAGAAGCACTGTGGAAACAGCGGAAGCTGACATCGGCCAAGTACGAGCAGTACCTTTTCCTGACGCGGGACGGGGTTCTGGCACGGAAGCGCAACCTGGATGCAGTTCGCGAGCATGAGGCCGCCCTGGCTGACGCCGCCCTCATCGAGGCCACCACGAAGAGGCTTCGAGCGAACCCAGAGGTGTACCGGGCTTTCCCGGCAGTGCCCGCGGCAGAAGCATGGTTGGCGACCTTTCGTGAAGATCGACTACGCTATCCACTGCTCATCGTCCACGGGCCCTCCCAGACAGGGAAAACAGAGTGGGTGAAGTCCTTGTTCAAGCGCGCGCTGGAGCTCAAAGTGGGGAGTCTCGACATCTTCCCAGAGGGGATGCGCGCCTTTGACAGGGACACCCATGATGGCATCATCCTGGACGATGTGAGGGACCTGAAGTTCATTGCGGAGCACCAGGACAAACTTCAGGGCAAGTACGACACGCGTGTCGAATTTGCCACGACTCCTGGCGGCACGTGCGCGTACCGGAAGTACCTCTTTGCGGTGCCTGTGGCAGTCACCATCAACAACAGCACACGGAACCTGGACTTCCTGCGCGCGCATGACTGGCTCGGCTCCGAGCGCAACCGCGTCCTCGTCCACTTCCCTGACATCTTGGCACAGGTCTGAGGGTCCAGCCTGAGACATGTTTCACAGCCACTGCATCCCAGGAGCCAGCCAGCACGGTGGCGCAAAAAGAGGCGGCTCGAGTGCCAGAGTCGCAGGCGACATCATGCGACACGCGTAGGCGCATGCTCCTGCGTCTGCGCTCGCGGCATGGGTGCTAGCGTCTCCATGGCCGTGTGCATTGTGGGTCCTATCGCGCCATCCCTGGCCGTGTGCATTTTCGGTCCGAGGCCGTGTGCGTTTTGGGTCCAATCGTGCGCCGCAGCCTGGGCCGTGTGCGTTTTGGGTCCGAACGCGTCAGCCGCTCCGGTCACCGTGTGCAGGTTGGGTCCTTGTCGCGCCAGCCCGGGCCGTGTGCGTTTGGGTCCTGTGTGCGTTTTGGGTCCGAAGCTGTGTGCGTTTTGGGTCAAACGTGCGCGCAGCCTGGGTGGGCCGTGTGCATTTTGGGTCCTCACGCGTGAGCCGCTCAGGTCGCCGTGTGCATCTCGGGTCCTCTCGCGCTGTGCATCTTGGGACATGTGCGCGAGGCAGTTGGGTGGGCATGGCGGTGCGTCCTGTGGTTCCTCACGCCTTGACCATGCAGGACCATGCATTGCTAGCGTCGGAAGGTACTGACAGGACCAGCCCACATGCGTGCCCTCGCAGCTGTCTCGGCACCATGCCCCTTGTGCAGGAGGTCAGGCACCCACGGTCGCTCAACTTCGCGACTGAGCGCCAGGTTGTGGTGCTGCGGGAGGTGCATGGCTGCGCGTGGGAGGACATCCGTTCCCGGGTGCGGAACTTGCGCGGGGAGCGGCCCAGTCTGTCGCTCCTGAAGCGAGTCTACAAGGGCTTCAGCCAGGCAAAGGGGCGGCGACCGTACAAGTACCAGAACTGCGGTCGCCGACCCGTCAAAGCTACCAAGGCCGTGCAGAAGTTCCTGGTGCAGCGCTTGCTCGCCCTGCGCATGCACTGTGTCTGCACCTCTGGCACCTTGCAGCGAGAACTGCTCGCGAAGCGGGGTGTGCAGCTGGATGAGTCGGCCATCCGCAAGGCACTGCGTCGCCAGGGATACTTCTGGCTTCCGAAAGCGCAGAAGCGCAAGTACAGTGCAGAACGCCGGCAGGAGCGCCTCCGCTTTGCACGGAGCGTGGTGCAGCTCAGTCGGGCCCGCCTGCGAGAGAAGCTTTCCTTCTCCATGGATGGGGTCCTGCTGTCGCTACCGCCACGGGATCCCACGGACCGCCGCAATTATTGCGCCCACGGGGATGGCTACATGTGGCGGCAGCGCGGGGAGGCTGGAATGGAGCGGCTGGCTGGACAGAACCCGTACCCGTCACAGGTGCCACGTGCTCGAGCCGTGCCACTCTGGGGTGGGCTGTCAGAAGGGGGCTTCCGCACAGTCGCCTTCCACAAAGCACGCAAGTTCACTGCAGAGGAGTGGTGCCGCGTGGTCCAGACCGGGAAGCTCCAGGCCGCCATAACAGCGCTGCAGCCAGTGCAGCGACACGGCCCCTGGAAGGTCTTGTGCGACAATGAGGCCTTCCTGCACACGGCCGCCAGCAGGCATGCCATGGCGGCCAAAAACATCACGCTCTGGCCGGTCCCGGCATCATCGCCGGACCTGAACCCTGTGGAGAAGTTCTGGGCGTGGCTGCGAAGGCGCCTCCGCCACCTGGATCGGGAAGACCTCCGCCGCAAGCGCCCGCCCATCGGCATGCTGGCCTTCAAGGCGCGAGTCCGCGCGGTTTTGGCCTCACAGCGTGCCCAAAGGGTGGCCTCGCACATAGCCGCGGGCTTCAAAAAGACCTGCAAGGAGGTCGTGTCGAAGAAGGGCGGCATGGCCAGATCCTAGCAGGCGTTTCACCCGCACTGTGCATGCCACGGACTCTCGCCGCCAAAACGCATGCTGCGCCGGGCCGATAGTTCGACCCACCGACATCTTGGGGTTCTGACGCCCTTACCCCGCCCTCTTCCCCATAGACTCCTGACACAATGGGGCTGGGGGCCTCCTCCGGAGCTTCTATAGTACTATATTTTTAAAACGGGGTATTAATTTCTCCGCTAGCAGGCGCAGGGAAAATGCGACTTTTCGGCACTCCGCTACTCCGCGGGAGCCTTCACTGTTGCGTGCCATCCAACATGTGCCGTGGGTCGAAACTTTCGGCCCGGGGGTGCCTTCCGGAAGCATTTTTCGAAGCCGACGGCCTCCTCTAGCCACTTGCGCCATGCCTGCCAACCTGAAGCAACGCGCTAAGCGTGCGCTGGTGACCTTGTTGCTGGCTCTGGCCGGTGCCTACGGGCTGCAGGTGACCCTCACGCGGGAGTCGACAGATGTCGAGGTGACGCGGGTCTTCCGGCGAGTGTCCATCAAGGTGCATCCCGACAAGGGCGGCGCAGCCGCAGACGCGCAGCGCCTGAATGCTGCAAGGGATGCGTGGGTCCAGGCGAGCCAGGGCACAAAGCCGCCAGGCCGACCTGCCCATGCGCAGGCAGGGCCAGTGTCCGCAAGCAGTGCCGTCACTAACGGGCGCGAAGGCTTGCGCATTCGCTCCGAGGCGGTGCTCCTGACATATCAAAGCTGGCCGGCCGGGGAGGCGCCTGGTGCATGGCAGCGGTTCTGCGTCTTTGTGGCCGCCTCGGTGACGGCGTGGACTGTCAAGCACTGGGCGGCGACGATGGAGCAGACCTCTGGCGGCGACTGCCACCTGCACCTCATGGTCCAATTCACTTCTGCAGTGGACTGCGGCTCCGCCCGCTTCATCTTTGAGGGTGTGCGACCCAACGCCAGCCCCAACGACTACCTCGGCGAGGGCGTCTGCCGCAAGAAGCTGCAGCAGTCCATCAACCGCGGCATGTTCTACGTGTGGGCTGACAAGGTGGGGACGCTGCGCTTGCCTTCCGGCGAGACTTGCGTCGCGGCCAACTACGAGCCATGCTGGACTGAGGCTCGGCGAACCTACCAGGTCCTCGGAAAATGGCCAGAAGCACTGTGGAAACAGCGGAAGCTGACATCGGCCAAGTACGAGCAGTACCTTTTCCTGACGCGGGACGGGGTTCTGGCACGGAAGCGCAACCTGGATGCAGTTCGCGAGCATGAGGCCGCCCTGGCTGACGCCGCCCTCATCGAGGCCACCACGAAGAGGCTTCGAGCGAACCCAGAGGTGTACCGGGCTTTCCCGGCAGTGCCCGCGGCAGAAGCATGGTTGGCGACGTTTCGTGAAGATCGACTACGCTATCCACTGCTCATCGTCCACGGGCCCTCCCAGACAGGGAAAACAGAGTGGGTGAAGTCCTTGTTCAAGCGCGCGCTGGAGCTCAAAGTGGGGAGTCTCGACATCTTCCCAGAGGGGATGCGCGCCTTTGACAGGGACACCCATGATGGCATCATCCTGGACGATGTGAGGGACCTGAAGTTCATTGCGGAGCACCAGGACAAACTTCAGGGCAAGTACGACACGCGTGTCGAATTTGCCACGACTCCTGGCGGCACGTGCGCGTACCGGAAGTACCTCTTTGCGGTGCCTGTGGCAGTCACCATCAACAACAGCACACGGAACCTGGACTTCCTGCGCGCGCATGACTGGCTCGGCTCCGAGCGCAACCGCGTCCTCGTCCACTTCCCTGACATCTTGGCAAGCCTGAGACATGTTTCACAGCCACTGCATCCCAGGAGCCAGCCAGCACGGTGGCGCAAAAAGAGGCGGCTCGAGTGCCAGAGTCGCAGGCGACATCATGCGACACGCGTAGGCGCATGCTCCTGCGTCTGCGCTCGCGGCATGGGTGCTAGCGTCTCCATGGCCGTGTGCATTGTGGGTCCTATCGCGCCATCCCTGGCCGTGTGCATTTTCGGTCCGAGGCCGTGTGCGTTTTGGGTCCAATCGTGCGCCGCAGCCTGGGCCGTGTGCGTTTTGGGTCCGAACGCGTCAGCCGCTCCGGTCACCGTGTGCAGGTTGGGTCCTTGTCGCGCCAGCCCGGGCCGTGTGCGTTTGGGTCCTGTGTGCGTTTTGGGTCCGAAGCTGTGTGCGTTTTGGGTCAAACGTGCGCGCAGCCTGGGTGGGTCGTGTGCATTTTGGGTCCTCACGCGTGAGCCGCTCAGGTCGCCGTGTGCATCTCGGGTCCTCTCGCGCTGTGCATCTTGGGACATGTGCGCGAGGCAGTTGGGTGGGCATGGCGGTGCGTCCTGTGGTTCCTCACGCCTTGACCATGCAGGACCATGCATTGCTAGCGTCGGAAGGTACTGACAGGACCAGCCCACATGCGTGCCCTCGCAGCTGTCTCGGCACCATGCCCCTTGTGCAGGAGGTCAGGCACCCACGGTCGCTCAACTTCGCGACTGAGCGCCAGGTTGTGGTGCTGCGGGAGGTGCATGGCTGCGCGTGGGAGGACATCCGTTCCCGGGTGCGGAACTTGCGCGGGGAGCGGCCCAGTCTGTCGCTCCTGAAGCGAGTCTACAAGGGCTTCAGCCAGGCAAAGGGGCGGCGACCGTACAAGTACCAGAACTGCGGTCGCCGACCCGTCAAAGCTACCAAGGCCGTGCAGAAGTTCCTGGTGCAGCGCTTGCTCGCCCTGCGCATGCACTGTGTCTGCACCTCTGGCACCTTGCAGCGAGAACTGCTCGCGAAGCGGGGTGTGCAGCTGGATGAGTCGGCCATCCGCAAGGCACTGCGTCGCCAGGGATACTTCTGGCTTCCGAAAGCGCAGAAGCGCAAGTACAGTGCAGAACGCCGGCAGGAGCGCCTCCGCTTTGCACGGAGCGTGGTGCAGCTCAGTCGGGCCCGCCTGCGAGAGAAGCTTTCCTTCTCCATGGATGGGGTCCTGCTGTCGCTACCGCCACGGGATCCCACGGACCGCCGCAATTATTGCGCCCACGGGGATGGCTACATGTGGCGGCAGCGCGGGGAGGCTGGAATGGAGCGGCTGGCTGGACAGAACCCGTACCTGTCACAGGTGCCACGTGCTCGAGCCGTGCCACTCTGGGGTGGGCTGTCAGAAGGGGGCTTCCGCACAGTCGCCTTCCACAAAGCACGCAAGTTCACTGCAGAGGAGTGGTGCCGCGTGGTCCTGGAAGGTCTTGTGCGACAATGAGGCCTTCCTGCACACGGCCGCCAGCAGGCATGCCATGGCGGCCAAAAACATCACGCTCTGGCCGGTCCCGGCATCATCGCCGGACCTGAACCCTGTGGAGAAGTTCTGGGCGTGGCTGCGAAGGCGCCTCCGCCACCTGGATCGGGAAGACCTCCGCCGCAAGCGCCCGCCCATCGGCATGCTGCCTTCAAGGCGCGAGTCCGCGCGGTTTTGGCCTCACAGCGTGCCCAAAGGGTGGCCTCGCACATAGCCGCGGGCTTCAAAAAGACCTGCAAGGAGGTCGTGTCGAAGAAGGGCGGCATGGCCAGATCCTAGCAGGCGTTTCACCCGCACTGTGCATGCCACGGACTCTCGCCGCCAAAACGCATGCTGCGCCGGGCCGATAGTTCGACCCACCGACATCTTGGGGTTCTGACGCCCTTACCCCGCCCTCTTCCCCATAGACTCCTGACACAATGGGGCTGGGGGCCTCCTCCGGAGCTTCTTTTGTACTATATTTTTAAAACGGGGTATTAATTTCTCCGCTAGCAGGCGCAGGGAAAATGCGACTTTTCGGCACTCCGCTACTCCGCGGGAGCCTTCACTGTTTGCGTGCCATCCAACATGTGCCGTGGGTCGAAACTTTCGGCCCGGGGGTGCCTTCCGGAAGCATTTTTCGAAGCCGACGGCCTCCTCTAGCCACTTGCGCCATGCCTGCCAACCTGAAGCAACGCGCTAAGCGTGCGCTGGTGACCTTGTTGCTGGCTCTGGCCGGTGCCTACGGGCTGCAGGTGACCCTCACGCGGGAGTCGACAGATGTCGAGGTGACGCGGGTCTTCCGGCGCGTGTCCATCAAGGTGCATCCCGACAAGGGCGGCGCAGCCGCAGACGCGCAGCGCCTGAATGCTGCAAGGGATGCGTGGGTCCAGGCGAGCCAGGGCACAAAGCCGCCAGGCCGACCTGCCCATGCGCAGGCAGGGCCAGTGTCCGCAAGCAGTGCCGTCACTAACGGGCGCGAAGGCTTGCGCATTCGCTCCGAGGCGGTGCTCCTGACATATCAAAGCTGGCCGGCCGGGGAGGCGCCTGGTGCATGGCAGAGGTTCTGCGTCTTTGTGGCCGCCTCGGTGACGGCGTGGACTGTCAAGCACTGGGCGGCGACGATGGAGCAGACCTCCGGCGGCGACTGCCACCTGCACCTCATGGTCCAATTCACTTCTGCAGTGGACTGCGGCTCCGCCCGCTTCATCTTTGAGGGCGTGCGACCCAACGCCAGCCCCAACGACTACCTCGGCGAGGGCGTCTGCCGCAACAAGCTGCAGCAGTCCATCAACCGCGGCATGTTCTACGTGTGGGCTGACAAGGTGGGGACGCTGCGCTTGCCTTCCGGCGAGACTTGCGTCGCGGCCAACTACGAGCCATGCTGGACTGAGGCTCGGCGAACCTACCAGGTCCTCGGAAAATGGCCAGAAGCACTGTGGAAACAGCGGAAGCTGACATCGGCCAAGTACGAGCAGTACCTTTTCCTGACGCGGGACGGGGTTCTGGCACGGAAGCGCAACCTGGATGCAGTTCGCGAGCATGAGGCCGCCCTGGCTGACGCCGCCCTCATCGAGGCCACCACGAAGAGGCTTCGAGCGAACCCAGAGGTGTACCGGGCTTTCCCGGCAGTGCCCGCGGCAGAAGCATGGTTGGCGACCTTTCGTGAAGATCGACTACGCTATCCACTGCTCATCGTCCACGGGCCCTCCCAGACAGGGAAAACAGAGTGGGTGAAGTCCTTGTTCAAGCGCGCGCTGGAGCTCAAAGTGGGGAGTCTCGACATCTTCCCAGAGGGGATGCGCGCCTTTGACAGGGACACCCATGATGGCATCATCCTGGACGATGTGAGGGACCTGAAGTTCATTGCGGAGCACCAGGACAAACTTCAGGGCAAGTACGACACGCGTGTCGAATTTGCCACGACTCCTGGCGGCACGTGCGCGTACCGGAAGTACCCCTTTGCGGTGCCTGTGGCAGTCACCATCAACAACAGCACACGGAACCTGGACTTCCTGCGCGCGCATGACTGGCTCGGCTCCGAGCGCAACCGCGTCCTCGTCCACTTCCCTGACATCTTGGCACAGGTCTGAGGGTCCAGCCTGAGACATGTTTCACAGCCACTGCATCCCAGGAGCCAGCCAGCACGGTGGCGCAAAAAGAGGCGGCTCGAGTGCCAGAGTCGCAGGCGACATCATGCGACACGCGTAGGCGCATGCTCCTGCGTCTGCGCTCGCGGCATGGGTGCTAGCGTCTCCATGGCCGTGTGCATTGTGGGTCCTATCGCGCCATCCCTCGCCGTGTGCATTTTCGGTCCGAGGCCGTGTGCGTTTTGGGTCCAATCGTGCGCCGCAGCCTGGGCCGTGTGCGTTTTGGGTCCGAACGCGTCAGCCGCTCCGGTCACCGTGTGCAGGTTGGGTCCTTGTCGCGCCAGCCCGGGCCGTGTGCGTTTGGGTCCTGTGTGCGTTTTGGGTCCGAAGCTGTGTGCGTTTTGGGTCAAACGTGCGCGCAGCCTGGGTGGGCCGTGTGCATTTTGGGTCCTCACGCGTGAGCCGCTCAGGTCGCCGTGTGCATCTCGGGTCCTCTCGCGCTGTGCATCTTGGGACATGTGCGCGAGGCAGTTGGGTGGGCATGGCGGTGCGTCCTGTGGTTCCTCACGCCTTGACCATGCAGGACCATGCATTGCTAGCGTCGGAAGGTACTGACAGGACCAGCCCACATGCGTGCCCTCGCAGCTGTCTCGGCACCATGCCCCTTGTGCAGGAGGTCAGGCACCCACGGTCGCTCAACTTCGCGACTGAGCGCCAGGTTGTGGTGCTGCGGGAGGTGCATGGCTGCGCGTGGGAGGACATCCGTTCCCGGGTGCGGAACTTGCGCGGGGAGCGGCCCAGTCTGTCGCTCCTGAGGCGAGTCTACAAGGGCTTCAGCCAGGCAAAGGGGCGGCGA